AATCTACGTATAGTGAAAGCCGGAATAGCATATGCAAATCTGGGAACTTCATGATCTTAGTGTGGTTGTTGAAGGTCCGGTTCACTTGTTAGTGAGAACAGTTCTAGTGTGTTTTGAAAACCTAGCCCTTCCGAGCTTGTTGTATTTTTAACTGAATGGTATCTCTAATTATATACCATTTTAATTCATTTTACTACCTTCCCTGTGTTTCTTCACAATATTATCAATGAAGTTTTATGGAGCATATTTTATATATTCTCTTATGTTTTAAATCAATAAAGAAAAAGAATACTCCAAGCTTACATTTTTACAGCTGTATCTATGTTTGTATTGTTGCTAATTGTCTTAAATTTTAAAAGGATTTCTACAAATCTTACTAGTAACTTTTATAAATTACTGATCGTTTATTACTTCTGAGTTGTTCTAAAGTGTTATATACAGGTTACCATAAACTAAGTTTAAGTGATCTATCAAATTGACTAGATCATGTTGTAGTTTCGAACAATTTAATATAAATCCTTATTGATACTTCAGAAAGTATTTTCTTCCTAATGTGTTTCAACTTTATTATTTTATAGGGAAGTATTTTACTACTACTCTGAACATCAAAATTGTACTTAGATTAAATTGATGAATATCTTGAATTTTGTTTTATTGGGTCTATTTCGTTTATGGTATTGATAATATTCATTTTATTTACTTACATTATTTTTAAATAATCTACTTTACAATTGACAGTTAAACAAATCTCAGGAGAACAACAAACAAATTCTCCATGCAGTATTGCACCAACTAATTCATTTAAATCCAATAATTTTGATTCATCATCATCTTCACATATTTCATCTATCAAAGAACCAATGGACACTTCGTACTTAAAGACAAATTCATCATCTTCGGCTGTGATAGAACTAGTGGAACAGCTGATGAAACAATTCTCAGGAGCTGAAGTTGACACACATGAATATACTTATCTTAGATGTATGGTTATACTTAGCTCCGGTAGGTAAAATGATATTATTTATTTTAAAATGTTACATTGTTTTTTTCTACATATTTTATTACCATTAAATAGAGTTGAGCTAGTTATATATTGCGTCATATTCATTTAAAATGATATCTGTTGTTAAACGGTAGGTAAAATAGTGTAATTTTTCTTTAGCAATTGATTCAAAGGAAATCGTTCTTTTTCTCCTTTACATTAAATCGTACATTAATTCTCCATTGAGCTGAATGTCGAGGACTAATTACTGATTAATTATTGACTCATATATTGATATACGACTACATTAATTAATTTTGGGAATGATTTTCTTTTAGTTCATATATATCTATTGATTATCAATAATATTTATAGACTTTTTTGATCATAACTTCAGTTTGTTAAGGTTCTAATCAGTATAGAATTAGATTTGAGATATTATTCTACTTTCATATTCATTAATTTATTGGATATAAATGTACTTATCCATGATCATTTCAAACTAATCTTATTCAACAATAGAAATTGTATAACTTTTAATAAAGTCTCATTTTTCTATTTATTTTTAAGGTCGTTTATGCATCAATGCAAGAGATGCCAGTTTAGCTAAACAAATTACTGAAATGGAATCACGTGTATTAAGCGAATTTTCTGAATTCTTGTCTACACGTGCAGCATCCTCTACAACTACTGGTACTGGTTCTCTTTCATCGAAAAGAACAAAACCTATTATTAAAAGAGTTCTTATATTGACACAATTATTATCTACACTGCGCTACTTAGATCCAAAAGATTTAGAAGAAGCATTTTTCTCAAGTGAGTTTTTTCTTTCTGTTGGTGATTTTCTTCTTAAAACTGCACTATATATCCATTTGATGTTAGGATGGATAGTAATAAACGAAATTGCAAGTGTTCAATTTCTCCTGAACCAGTTAAAAGAAGTGTATATTTTGTTAAGCCATATAATGCATCAGTGTACATGGAATTAGTCTCAATATATATATTTTTTTCTTTGTTAAAAATAATCTCACTTGGCCAGTAGTTTATTAACTAATGACAGTCTCCACATTGTAATCAAAGTAACTTTTAGGTAAAGATCGGCTTACCTAGTCTTTTTTAAAGGGTATCTCTGATAATATTTTTCTAGTTCATTTTTCCGCTATAGCATTTACTGTTGCTTGGTTATCATCATCCTTAGTTTACTTCATCAAGTGCCCGAAGACCATTGTTTAATACTATAAAAACAGAGCTGTTCCTCTCCAAATTTCACTTCTTTAATGAATATAAAGTTACCCTGAATATTCTGTTTTGCCTATTTAGCGTGTTTATTAACTTTGAACTGTGCAGATATCCAGCCAATTCTAGTTTCTCCATCTTGAGTCGTAATATTAGAAGTCCTCAATCGTTCGTAAACGAAATTTACCGTAGGCTGACCGGAAACCTTAATCGTTATCGTGGACACGTGGCAGTAACTAAGCAGCTCCTATATGATTTTGTTTAATGTTCATATCCTTTATCAAATGCCAACGGAAGTAAAAAATGCCCAACTAGTTTGTGACTCCACGTTATGTGGATATGATCGAACTTGTAGGTAAAATCTTTTGTTTGTTCGAGATGTGTACATCAATGATGATGTATCAATGCAAGGGAGGATATGTATATAAAATCCTATTCATTATGTATAATTTAGATATCCTTGGATTTATATTGTCTCTGTGACAGTCCGTATTCAAAAAGCAAGTAGGAAGCTGTCTAGTCAAGTTCACAGTTAGAATCCGGTTAATATGATATTCCCTGATATCAAATAGGAGTAACTGCAAACATTTCGGTTCTAAATAAATTTCCATCATCTAACAAACTAACCACAACTGTTAAACAACAATCTTATTTGAGAAGGATTTGGCAAATAAAGTGAATTAAGTTGGACGTCAGTATGCGGATAACAAGTTCCAAGGGCACTCTACTAGATTATTTCTAGATCGTCCACATACTAATCACGGTGGACCTACTCAACACGGAGTCAATAGTTTATACAAATATTAGCAGACTTAGCTATCTTAGTTCCATGAGGTAGTAGTTATCCATAACTTATTATAAAATACAATTACTATGCACCGATTAACATTTTAAAGTATGCTTTGTTTCATGTAATTACGAAATAAACTGTCAAACTTTCCTTTTTTACTGCCAGATTTACTTGGTTCTGTATCGATTGCTCAGATCCTCCCATACTTACTGGAATCAAATGACCTATTTACTCAAAGTCAATTAGTAATGAATTCATGCCTACCGGATAATTCTCTGGATTATAAGCCCGGTTTAAATCATGTCAAACCTCCTAACAAACAAGCTTCGAGGTCTGGTTTGGAAGATAGTGTGACAAATTTTACCGGGGATCCTCTCCCTAACATGACGGAGAAAACTGATAATCCTTCCTCTTCGTTGTTTATCCGCCCCGACCAGACGTCTCCACAGAGCAGATCAGCTTCTTGTGAGATCACAGTCACGAACATTGAACTAAACAATCAAAACACAGAACCAGTAAATAGTATATCATTTGCGAACGACGAAACTAATGACTTAGCCTAGGAATCAACGTTAGGATACATAATATTTAATCATAGATGAAATAGTTTCCCTCCTATAACGTCTTTCTTATCAAACCGCATCAAATTTGAAAGGACTGAGAAGATAAAGCGCCTTCTTGCTTTCAGCGCCATTCCGTTCAAAAGATTACTGCTTATTAAGTTCTATGCTGAAAACAAATATTTGAAGTGGTTTTACATGACATAAAAATAGATAATTATAATACTTAACAAAATATGCACTAGCAATTATTTGTGCCGGTATAAAAAGGGTGGTTTCAACGTTTATCTTCTTCTCAAGATCTTTTCATTCAGTAATTATAAAAAAGACGAAATTTGTACATTTTTCTAAATTCTTTACTTACAGACAGAATGAGGGTTGTAGTTACTAATTTACACTTTCCAATTTATACACATTATACATTCAGTCTTTAATGATATACAGCTACCTCATCTCTCTGTACACCAGGTTTAATACGTATTCGTTATTCTTGTTTCGTGTTGTTGATGATGCAAAACATACAAATTAGAAGATCCTCTTAATCATTCCTATAATTTACCCATATATATATACTCACCTATAAATATGTATACATGAGCTTACTTTTTACAGCTTTTAATTTTTTGTCCCGTTTAATGATTTCAGATTATTTATATCGTAAACAAAAATTATAAATTTGGCAAACTTTTTTTATTATCTATACATTTGTTGTCTTGCTTAAATAATTTTACTATCTACTGATAATGATTTAAACTGTTATGATTTCAAACTACTGATATGATTTCTATTCACTCGACTATTGTGTATTAATTGAACATTGAGAGTAAAGACAATAATGATAATTGTTACTGACGGACGAAGAGCGCCATCTCTTGATTTTGTGATTTGAATCTAACTCAACTAATTTATTTATGAGTGAACAAATATTACATAAATACACTAATGAGTGGATCAGGAACTCGGGGTACTCTTATACTTCGGTTGCTTTCACCTTTTACTATTTTCTTTGCCTACAAAAATCCATAATGTATTTAACTAATGTTGTGTGATATCTTGAATATGGAATTAACATCTTACTTCTCTTCCTATCTTGTTTTTGTTTTGTGCCTGTACTCCAAATGTAGATGTGTTAATAACCGTGATTTAAATATTAAAATAATATTGTAAGTCTATGTTTGTCTCTCTCCATATATATATATATATATATATATATATATATATATATATATATATATATATATATATATATATATATACTTCAAACTATTATGTGGACGTAAATTCAAAGTTCCAGGTTCCCATAGATATCCTAACATGTTATGAGAGGAACTTCAGCTAGGCTGTAGATGCCTTTTACTATTAGCGCACTTATTTTTTTTTGACACACACAATTATCTTTCGTAAACAGATATAAAGCAAAACACAAGATGTTATCGTAAGTAATCTTTCAAACAATTAACGAGTACGATAGCAATCTACATAATCAGTACAATTTGACACAGTTTATTGGTTAAGAATTACATGTTAAGGGCTCCACTTGTCGGCTAAGCTTCGTAGACCAATCACTCTAATTTAGAAAGAATTTTACAAAAATGGTAAATATTATGCATATGTAAATGGAATAGTTGGCTTTAATGCGCTAAGTAGTTAGCTCGTTTATTGAAATAGTATTGAACACCTGAAAAAATTAGCAGGACGACGTAGATCCCAGCAGCTATAAAACAGTTATTTGACACCATTACATAAGCTTCCTCCACATGTAAGGGAGCATAGCCACTAGCAGCCCAAGCTGTTTCATTTAGTGGTATGTCTTCAGAGAATGCGACTGAGTTTACGCGTGCAAAAACACCCATAAGAAGCTGTAAACAAAACAATCAGACAAGATAGGGTTAGAACTAACGACTAATAGGAAACCTATATAGCAGGATAAGTCCTGATACTAGTAAATGACCATAAATTATTCCAATGCATTAGAACATTATAAGGCAGAATAATGCTTATATCTAACTGCAGGAAAAATAAAGTATTCAATAAAAGGATGACGGTATTAGCAGTACACACTTAAGATACTAAAATATCTAACTTTTAAAATCTCAACCAAAAATAAACATGCTTTTTTGAGGCTTCCACCACTATGAAATAAAGTGCTGGGAAGTTAAGTTTTCTCATTTTATGGAAGTAGGTATTATATCCTGGTCACAAGGCATGGTAGTAAAATTTTAGTGACCCAAAAGAGTTAAAGTTTGACGTGAGAGCTTTACATTGAATTTAACTTCCCTGTGGACAAGTGATAACGGTGGATTTGTAATACAAACGGATCGACGCTAGTGACAAAATGCAACGATAATTATGCTTTTAAGCTTGTCTAATTCACGCTCCTTTTATTTTACTGATAACGTTGAGTGATTACTACGTTATAATTTCCCATCTACCCATAGAGTAAAGCACAAAGTATAACTACTCCATTGATTAGATAAAAAATATTTTACGAAGTTTCAGCAGTAATATTCCTGATTAGAGCTTGTAGTTTGGGCTATGTATGACTGCAACAACGTCAGTGGTTTCAGCATGGTCACTGGACTGTATATCTACTTACATAATACGGACGCTCGGCACTTACCTACTTAAATTTTTAGCTACATGTTTCAATGGCACAGTAGAGGATATCTTAGTGGTTAAAACACTTGAGTTTCACATACTAGACAGTGGTTTGGACGTCGTTTTAGCTATTTCAATCTGGACAGTCAGACAATATCGCTAATTTTAAGAGTACAGCTAAAACTGAGTACGTAAATCTAATTGTCTATGGTGTTCATCTATATTAGTTTACCAAGAAAAAGTATAACAAGTAACTTACTGAAGACCTTAACAAGATCCGAATAGTCAATGGACACAGATTCTTTATTAATCGTGCCCATGTTCTGACAAATTTTGAGTATCAGTAGTTTGAAAAGTTTGTTAATATCCGCTAGTTTTATACAGGTCGTTTTTCTAACAAATCGTAACTATAAATTACATTATTTCAATAAGACCGCTTACACAGACTTTAGAAATACACTTTCAGTAACCTCATTCTAGAATGGAATGCTCTTTTAATTCAGTCAGTTATCTAAAACGTAGGACCAAGCACATATATGCATCGGCCCGAATTCGCATACCTCATTAGTACAAGATGAACATTAAATCCATAGAAGCAGTTACTTTAATGGTAGACTGGAAAAAGACTGCATATAAGGACATGATATAGGGAGAGAGAATTGGTTCATAGAAGGAAAGGTAAAAAAGTAAATTTAATCTCAGTTTTAAATGTGAACATATGAATTAGAGATGGAATTTTGTAACAGGTTCATTACTTAGAATAAGAATTTCTTATGAATAATCAGGTACATGTCCTCAGACGAATGCGTCACGAAATCCCAAACCACATGGTGAATCTTACGGGACTTATATGCTAAGTACTACAGGCAGTGCATGGCTACATTTGAATTTTGTATATCCATGTCGGAAATATACCGTGCATTGAATATTTGAGATACTAAGGATTAAAGGATATGGTTCAAAAGACACAACGTGCAACTAAGTATCCTGTTCTAGTACGTTAGAACTATTGCGGATGCCTGTATTGTTCGTAAATGTAACTGGATCAGAAGCCCACGATACTGTAGGTATGGTTTTGGTTACGAGGATTTTTGAGGAAAAAATATGCGCAGGTAAGGGTGGTGATGATCAATAAAGATCACAGGAAATTAGCCAACTCAACTTAAGGAATCCAGGTTATGGGCTGAGAAATAATATGAAACTAAAACCTTGTTGTTTGTAAAGAGGGAAATCTCCCCCATTTACGGGATATAGTTATGTACGAACTCAAAAGTCTATAAATCGAGGTACTGTGTTTTGTATATTCGGTTTTTGAGAATAAAGTTAAAAAAGTTACACTTCACATGAACTTCCTCTTTCGGCTTCCTCCTCAAGTGTCACCATAGCCAACGATTCTAGTGCTCAAAACCCTGTCCCAGGTCTACTGAAACCTCGCTCCAAACTACACATTGGAGCCTTCAACGTACGCACTCTATGTCAAATCGGTCAGCAGGCTTCCTTGGCTAAAACCCTAGTCTCTTTCCATTGATGTATGCTGTGTCTCCGAAACACGCATAGAGGATTCCAGTGTGGTCATTCACTTGACCTCACCTCGGCAAAACATAGAGCCAACGAGATACACCCTCCGTGTATCTGGTGACCCGATGGCCAGTTCTCGTGGACTGGCAGGTGTAGGCATAGCACTAAGCATGAGGGCGGAACAAGCACTGCTAGAGTGGATCCCCGTCAACAGTCGTCTATGTGCTGTTCGGTTAAACGGCTCCGTAAGAACTCGGAGGGATAGGGATACACGTCGTTGCCTTTTCGTCGTTTCTGCCTACGCTCCCACTGACTGCAGCTCAGATGATGTGAAAGATGGATTTTACAGAAAGCTTTCTGAACTTCTTTAGGAAGCTAAACGCTCAGACATAGTACTCATAGGGGGTGACTTTAATGCTCAGATAGGTAGCTTAAACCAAACAGAAAGGGATTTAGGTGGATATTTTAGCATTCCAGCACAGCGAACAGATAATGGTGATCGTCTGCTGCAACTGTGCTCAGACAATCGCTTATTTCTAGCAAACACAAATTTTAAGCATAAGAAGAGACATCTTCTAACATGGCGACCCCCTACACTAAACCAACGATGGACTCAAATAGACCATATTGCCATCAGTCATCGTTGGAGAGGGTCGGTAGAAGATTGTCGCTCATTCTGGAGTACCTGCTTGGACTCCGACCACGCCCTAATACGGGCACGCATCTGCTTGCGCCTCACTGGACGCAAAAAAGCCACAGTAAAAAAACCCATTAGAACCGAACTGAGTAGCGAGGAAACCAAAAGTAGGTTCCAGGAACAACTGAGGTCACTATTAGGTAGTTCTGAAAACGAGGTTGACCCAGTTGTTGCTTGGAAAGCCATACAAACAGCTGTGGAAACAGCAGTGACATCTATCAGTGATTTAAACCAAAGGGTTACAAAGAACCAATGGATTTCTTCAAAGTCTATCACACTGATGGATTCTCGCAAACTCGTCCTATCAGGTTCCGAACATGATGAAGAGCGACAACAAATCAGATCTAGGTTAAGAAAAAGTCTAAGAAACGGCCGTGAGCAGTAGTGGGCAATGAAAGCAAAAGAGATGGAAAAGGCGGCGACTATAGGGAACACAAGACAGCTTTACAGACTAATAAAAGAAACTGGAATTAATAAGTCAAGTGTAAGTGAGATTATATCGGAAAAAGACGATACTCCCATCTGCTCCTAGTCCAGACGTTTAGAACGATAGGCGGAACATTTCAGAGAACAGTTCAACTGGCCTTCAGCTACTCTACAACTACCCTCCATTCCCAGACAGTGTGAATGGAACATTGAAGTAGGTCCCCCAACTCTTGCTGAAGTTCAAAAGGCTATAGTTAATCTGAAACGAGGAAGGGCAGCTGGTCCAGATGGACTGGCTCCAGAGGTCCTTAAGGATGGTGGTCCAATTTTAGCGATTAGGTTGACTAATATTTTAGCTAGGATCTGGGAGTTAGACGTTATCCCAACTAACTGGTCACAATCACTTATCGTCCCAATATATAAGAAAGGGTCAAAATCATCCTGTGACAACCATAGAGGGATTAGTTTAACTAATATAGTATCTAAAATACTAGCTTCGATAATTATCAGACGCCTAACTAGGACTCATGAACTACAAACACGAGAGACTCAAGCTGGCTTCAGACCTTGTCGTGGCTGCATCGACCACATATTCACCATTCGTCAGATTCTAGAACACAGGCATACTTATTGACGTCCGACAATGGTGGTCTTTCTCGACTTAAAAGCAGCATTTGACTCGGTAGACCGCGATATTCTGTGGCAGTGTCTGTCATTGAAAGGCGTACCACAGAAGTACATAAACCTTGTGAAGGCTCTTTACTCGAACACTACTAGTCGAGTCAGAGCTTATGGCGAACTGTCATCTACTTTTGCAACATCAAGTGGTGTCCGTCAAGACTGTCCACTTTCCCCATTTTTGTTTAACTTCATCATAGATCTACTGATGGAAATAACTTTCTCGTCGACTGAGTTCTCGGGTATTGATCTCCTACCAGGAGGTCCACTTATCGACTTAGAATACGCAGATGACATAGTCCTGTTTGATGAAGACGCTGACAAAATGCAGAGTCTTCTGGTAGCACTGAGCAACAATGCCAGAATGTTTGGAATGCGCTTCTTTCCCTCGAAATGCAAGTTGTTGCTTCAGGACTGGTCTGCGTCAACACCTGAACTAAGGATAGGGAGTGAAGTAGTCGAAAGCGTCGACAACTTCACTTATCTTGGAAGTCTGATCAGCCCTAATGGGTTGGTGTCTGACGAAATCTCAGCACGGATTCGAAAAGCTTGCTTGGCTTTTGCCAACTTGCGTCACCTTTGGCGAAGGCGAGATATCCGTCTATCAATAAAAGGACGGGTATACTGCGCGGCAGTCCGTTCTGTTTTACTTTACGGTAGCGAAACATGGCCTTTAAGAGTAGAAGACACTCGTAAGCTATTAGTATTTGACCACAGATGCCTTAGAAATATTGCTGGCATCTGATGAGATCACCGGGTAAGTAATAGTGAGGTTAAACGCAGGGTATTAGGGAATGATGGTAAATCAGTTGATGAGGTTATGAATCTTCATCGACTGAGATGGTTGGGCCACGTGTTACGTATGCCTGAACACCGACTACCACGATGTGCAATGGAGATGGTTGGAAGAAAGTTAGGGGAGGCCAAACCAAAACGTGGCATCAGTGCTTGAAGACACTAACTTCTAGTCTGAGCCATGTTGGTAGATGCAGACTACTTGGTTGGGGTCCGCGTGACTTTCGTAACCAATGGTTGGAGACTCTTGGTGACATGGCTCAGAATCGATCACAATGGCGTCGGTGTATACACTCCCTGTCTTCCCTTAAACTAAGAGATTAAAATCACTTCATATCTTTCCTTCTACGAACCAATTCTTTCTTTTTGTATTATATCTCTATATGCAATCTTTCTCTTATATATTACCACCTTTGACCTAACCACTGCTGTGAATCCGGTGGTCATCTTTTGTGCTGATGCGGTATGGCAACCTGGACCGATGCACATATGTGCCTGGTCCTACGTTGTAGCTGACTGACTGACTGACATGAATGGATAGATTGTTGAAATATCACTTAACTTAAGAATAAAACGCCCGTTTGTTGAGCCCCAACATTTACAACAAAATGTAGACATGATTTTTAGGTTTATATAGTCCACTTAAACTTTTAGACTGACAGTAGGATTATCGTGAATTAAAGAACGGATGGCTAAAATCACCGGCTTTTTCCTTAGTTTTCATATAGTAACGAATTTGACAAAAAGGTGACTCTTGGCCCATCTTATTTAACAGGGGAACATTAAAATATGTGACTATAACTGATTCGTGCCAACCATTATAAATTACAGCCAATACATCACAAATGAACACCCACTTAAAACAAGGAACAAGGTAATATCAAAAGTAATGATGGAAACTAGCTTGGACTCAGAAGTCTGAAAAACATCTACAAGTCTGATAAATGGTTTTGGATTTAGTTACTTACGCCCGTGTAACTTGTCATCACCTTAAAATACATTTTCATGAAAATTCGCTGATTTTTTAACATAAAAATGTTGTATGCAATAAAGTCTGGAGGGAAGATATCAAGCAGACGAACTGGAACGTCCATTATTCATTGAATTACTTCATCTTTATACGTGAAGTAATCTAAGGAAGATAACGGATTGCATGATGGATGGTCAAACAAACCTTATCAAGTAAATATTGAGTTTAATTTGAAGAAAATATCCGATAGGTGAGAAATGAGATGGCTGGAACAAAAACTAGTTCTACGTAACGATTCACCGGACGAGTTGGTTTTTTTGACGTTGTGTGATATTCAAAAGAGAATGAGGACTTCTGCAAACCTAGGATATATACCTTCTGGATAAAGTATGGGTTGCCAGAAGTGCGTAGATGTAACTTTCACATTTGATATAAACCTAAAAAACCATTATACAGTTACAAACGTTTACACTTCCAGCAACCCATACTTAGCCCAGAAATAAGTTAACGGTGGCTAGCTTACGAATTTTAATGAGAAAATGTGGTATTTGTACTAACCGATGATTCTTTTGTACTTGATGGTACGCTTAAGAGTATTGTGTTTGGAATTCGTAATAATGATTACGAATTCCAAACACAATACGTTCAGTCGAGGTCACTTAATTTTACACACCTTAAATTACACTATTTCTGGAGTTCATAGTTAGAAAATCAGTTTAATTACTCTTAATCATTACAGAATATTCTCCTAAATTTACTTGATGAAAGTAATTAAAATTTGTCAACAGTTAAGGCGAGATAGTTCTTTCCAGAGTTCACATCTGGATATGACAAATCTCCTCTATTTAATTTAATTAATTTTTGAAGACTTACGAGCATCAATATCCCCCAAACACTGAGAAGAAGAAGAACTACTGAGCACTTTGGCCCTACGAGCGCCATTTTTATACTTGCGCGCCTGTTCTCTAATCCTTAAACTGTCTCAATCCAAATAGTGACTTGATTATACCTTTTGATATGTATATGAGTTGTACAATACTATACTTGATCGTGAAACGAAAGAATTTGGATAAAATCAATGTTTGTTGTTAAATTGTCAATATTAAGTGTTTCTCGTCCACTTAGAGAGTTGATGCTGGATATGGGAAGAAAATTTTTCACTTATTATTTAATTCTCACTTGTACATTTTACTTCGTCCGATTTTTTATACCAGGAATTTGCAATGGGCTACCATGTACCATCCGTTGAAGACAAGTGTAAATATCCTTAAGTGATTGAAATGAAACTTCCAGTGAAAACCGAACTACTATTTGCAGTACTGACCCTGTAGTTAAACAGGAAGTTGTTCTAAAATTCT